AAATGACCATAGAGGAATGGAACTGGCAGAACAGGTAGACATTTTGCACAATGAATGATAACACCCCCACCAGAATTATGGGTAATTGCAAGTCTCGCTGGTATGATAAAACGAATAGTCCTGTATTGACATTAGCATCTCACCACTTACCCGTACAAATCTCGATTTACAGGCCTCCCGATTTGATTTCCGCGGATCACCGGACATTTGTCAACTTAAAAGCTAAGGGTCGTCGTGACTACTGTCGCCCGCTTCATCCGGAAGGCCGAATTACTGAATCCGCCTAAATTTTCCGACAGAAACGGCGGTATTAGTATCGAGGCGCGACACCCTTCGAAACTCCGATCCTGGGAATCCCCTATTCAGGGTTTGACCGCGGAGATTCACAGAGTAGTTAATAACCATAAACTTCCGTGGGAGAAACACTTAAGAGCCTGCAACCTCTCCTCTAGGGCAACCAAGCTCTGGGCTGCAGTCAAGTCGTTGTCAAGCCCGACGAGAAGCGATGACCGGGTGGAAATTTCATTCTTCGCTACTAAAATCGGCGTTAACTCTCCTCTCAAAAGTAGCGAAAACACTTGAGGCCTTGCTGCTCCCGACCTTCACTCACCATCTCCATCTAGCAGCACATCAGCATGGCTTCCGAAAAGTGCACAGCACCACAACAGCACTAACCGCCATAAACACCCAGACAGTCAATGGCCTTAACCAAAACCGACCCTGCGCGCAAACTGTCCTAGTAGCACTGGATTTGTCAAAAGCTTTTGACACAGTCAACCATTCAGTGCTACTAACGGACGTGGATGAATCCTCATTACCGTCGGGGTTGCAGAGGTGGTCGACAATCATTGGTAATATTTGTGTTTTTTTTTCGTCTTAATGTTTTTCAAACAAACAGAGGGACCCACAGTTTATACTAATCCGCCTCCGAATGGCTGATGATTTGTTTACGAGGATACTTTATTTCATTTCTCTAATACACTCGGGGGGGGTGGACATTTATTTTGATTTAGTTCGTGCCTATCATCAAATACCAATGACTGATTAAGATATACACATCTACATACGCAATAACCACCCCTTTCGGAATGTTTGAATTTGTACGTATGTCTTTTGGACTTAGAAACAGTGCTCAAACATTTAAACGATTTTTTAATGAATTATTATCTGGATTAGATTTCGTATTTATTTATATCGATGATATTTTAGTGGTTATTGGTATTTGAGATCATCATGTTGAACATTTAAAATCAGTATTTAAAAGACTGGAAGGGTACAATTTAAACATTAAACCTGCTAGATGTATTTTTGGAACAAATAAATAAAATTTTTTAACTATGAAATTTCAAGTGAAGCTATCAGACCTTTTTTAAATCGTATTGAGACAATTTTAAAATTTGAAAAACCTCTTCAGATTAACAAAGTACAACAATTTTTTAGGTTTGCTAAATTATTATCATAGGCATATTAAAATGTTAGCAGCAGAATTAAGTCCTCTGGACGAAATGTTACCATTTCCAATAAAAATTAACTAAAAGAATTAAATTGGACAGATGAAACCACAAAGTCTTTTGAAAATGTAAAAAGAGTTTTCGCACAAAAAACAGTATTAACACATTTTGACAAAAACCGTCAATTATCAATTGCATTAAATGCCAATGTGTTACTATTGGAACTGTTTTACAACAAAATAGCAATAACTCATTAGAACCATTAGCATATTTTTTCCGAAAAATAACTCCAACTGAAATTAATTATTCAACATTCGATAGGGAACTTTTGGCGATATATTAATTAACTCATTTATACACATTAGACATTTTCTCTGTTTACACTGGCCATAAACCACTTACAAATGCTCTGAATTCTAAAGCAGATAGATCTCCTCGTCAAATAAGACATTTATAACATATTGCACAATTTACTAATGATATTAGATACATTTGTGGTAAAGATCATAAAATTGCCGATACTTTTTCTCGTATTCCAGAAATCAATTCAATTTCGACAAAAGACATACATTTTCAATATCTTTATGAAAAACGATAAAAAGACGAAATACTTAAATATATTATTTCAGATCTAAATGCTCATATTAATTTAAAATAAATTAATATACCTATTCTAAATCTTTATATTTGGTGTGATGTTACACAAACACCTTTTAGACCATATGTTCCTAATTCAATGAGAAAAATAATTTTTGAACAAATTTTAAAGACATTTCAACCGTTTTTGTTGCAATTACATTTATTCAAAATTATGTTCCTCGTTTCGGTATTTCACTCAATATAACGGTAGATCAAAGAACACAATTTACTTAAAATTTATTTAATGAATTAACAGAATTATTAGGTTCAAACAAAATACACACTCCTCCATATTATCCATATCATGAGTGAAAAATTTCACAGAACAGAAAACTGCAACTAAAGGCTCAAATAATTCAGTTCACTGGTCTGATATTTTATCGTGGATTCTTTTAGGTTTACGAACAGCGATAAAGGAAGATCTAAAATGTTCTTCAGCTGAATTAGTTTACGGTCAAACACTGATACTTCCGGGTGAACTTATTGTTTCCAATTACGAAATTGAAAATACGAATAAAATTCTTTCTAAATTAAGAAAATATTTCTCATCATCATAATAAAGAAAATAGTTTTATTCTTAAAAATTTAAATACTTGTGAATATATATTTGTTAAAGTTATTCATAAGTCTAATCTTCAACCCCTTAGGAAGGACCATTTAAAGTTATCTCCTAACATAACAAAACTTTTGAAATACAATATGGAAATAACATTAAAACAATATCAATAGATCTACTTAAACCTGTAAACATTATGTCAACCACTTCTTCACGAGACGAAAACACACTGACAAGCACGAAGCAAAAAAAGGTTACATTTAACCTTAATTAATATTATTACATATGCGTTACACTCGAGGAGGAGTTAATTTAACATTTATAACTTGCTATTTTAAATTTATCATATTTTGTGTTACTGAAATTTAAGTTTAAAATATATTCTTTTTCTGATTATTATAATTTTCACTTTCAAATATAAATGTTTGTGTAAAATAAATTAATAAATTTAAATAAATAAAATTTTAAATCATTTATTAACACACATAAATATATAGATACATTTGTTGATTGTTTACGTTTTGAAAACACATATAATTAAAGAAATACATATGGCTACGTCTCTGGGAAACTCCTTTTTGAATGGTAATTTGACGGAGTATTTACCATTCTTTTCGGCGCATTGTTGTTTTGCGATACAAATTTTCGCAAAATTCATCCGCTTCTGAGTGAGTTTGAGTAACATTTTGTGCTGGATTTATCTGCGTTGAAAAGGATTCTATTTTTTGAGTTGTTGGTCTGCTGATTATCCATCCAAATATTGTCTGGAGGTGTTGCACTCCTTGTTTGAGAATTTGCGGTGCTAAGTCGGTGCCGATTACCAGGTCAATTCGCGGTGGGGTGAGACAATTTGGGTCGGTTAACACTAATCGTTTGTTGATGTCAATGGTCGACACATAGGTTGTGGGTGAGCTTGGGTACTATTGCTCTAGCTTTTATATGGTTCTGGAGGAAAATTCCTCCCATTTCTGATATTTCGTAAAGAGCTTCCTCCGTGGGTAGATTAAGTGTTTTTTGAATTCGACATGTATATGAAAAACGTTTTTTGCGAACCTTGGTCTAGAATTGCTCGGATTTTGTGGTGTTGTCCAGCTAGATATATCGGAACTAGAGCTGTGACAAGAGTGTGGTTCCATTGCTGCTTGCGTGGTGTGTTAAAACCTTGACTATCTGCTTCTGCGCCTGGGGGTATGCCTGATCCCTGTTGATGGCCTGCCGTCTGCTATTTGACTGCGTTCGCTGCCTGTACTGTCGATGAGTGGGGTTTTGAATATGTGGGCGTGTTTTGAGCAGAATTTTGAAAATGGAGTAGTGAATGAAGACGTCGAAATACAGCTTTCGCAGCAATTGCTTTCACAAACGAATTTTAGTCGATCTGGGACGGAAAGGTTCCTAAAACAGATGCATATTTTCATCCCTTGACTAGAGTTGTAATCTATATGATAGGTTTGGATTCTGGGGTCCTCATAGCGAGAAAATTTTCATCTGTGAGAGGGTATTGTTCACAATTAGGCCTGCTGGACTTTTTGTTCTGTGACGCAGGTGAAATAATTTTTAGGCGGGTGTTAATTGGGGGTGACTTATATAAACTACCGTCAACAGAGAAAATGGCTTGTGTCGGAATGTCGGCCAGTTTTCACATGCTGGTACCTTGAGACGTACCCCACAGGTGACTGCGTTTGTGTTTGCATTTATTTTAGCTTGGTTGGTTGAGTGGGTGTTTTTTTGGTTTGTTAATTTGTCAAGTGTCAAGTGTACAGCATATGGCTACTATAATCTATAAAAATTGTATAAGTTTAAGCTGCAGTTTTTAAGCGGACGATTTTGGATACTCTGAGGTACGCAAAGTGTTCCTCTTTCCAGTCCCGATAAATGTTGTTAAAAATTTAAAGATGGCACTGAAATCATCTATGCTGAAAAAATTTTCATTGAATCGATCTGTTAAAATATTAGCTTTTGAGTCAAAAATCATCAGGCAGTGTGAAGTTTGGACTATACGCATTTAAATTTGAATAAATAATAACACCACATGATACAACCCTCGTACAACTGATTTGCTCAGATTTGAGACTTTACGGTGACTCAATAAACCGTAACCATTGTTACTGAATTTTACTCAGGTTTAGTTTGAAGAGGAAGTTGCAAAATCGTGCTGGGAATTTTTCAGCCAGTAAAATTAGCAGTTATGAAAACAGCTGATTTTTGATCACATGGTTGCATTTTTGTCAACAAAACAAAAAAATGTGTTAAAATGAAAATTCTATTAATACTTTAATATGAATTATATACAAAATAAATAGCTGAAAGTAATTTTTTTAATTTAACTGTATGATAACAATGATTTAATCAAATAGTAAAGATACCCGTTATACGAAAATTTGGTGACAGGGCAAAGAAATAATCGCCCGCACGCACACAGCTTACATTGGGTGGAATAATTGGAAGTTTTTGAAACTTGAAAGCAACTCTACGAAACAATCGCAGATTTATACAAACTAAGTTTTACATAAGAACAATTGCGTTTATTTGGTATATATTACCCAGTAGAAAAATATATTGGGTTCCGTCTATCGTATTGGATATTTTGGCACAGCGAGTCTGAATGCAAATATGTGGGTATGTATGTGAAAATTTAAAATATTTAGTATTTTTTTTTCATTCCGAAAGTGAATATAATTAAATGTAATTAAGTTTTCAATTTTAAAATGATAAAAATTTTCGAAATATGTTTTTGATTTGAAAATTTAGGAATAAGTAGTTCAATATTACATTTTAATTAACCATTCTGTTTGTATCCATACAATTTATTTCAACTGGGAAGTAAACCTACACAACCAAAACGATTTGTTTATAAACTCATATTCTGTTTCAGCTTTTGAAAAAAAAAATCGAGTTCATTTGAAAAAAATTAATCAGCGTTTGCTGTTTATTTTCTTCAATCAACTTAAACATTAGGTTTAGCTTCTTCAATACATTAATATATTTAAATACCTTTGGTCAAGTATTTTCCTTTCCTATACCAACTTATTAGTAGAAATGTCAAAAGTTTTTTTTGGATAAAATCGTCTTCTTTTGGTTCCACGAAAAACCATTGCTAAAAGTCAGCAGTTTTAATTTTTAGGTTTGGTCTCGGAGAAAATGCGATGGAGCATTATGAACAAAAATAATAGCTTTAACTGCATAGAGATCTACAGGCCTATTCTGTGCACTTGATAAATTCGCCATCTTGATTATTTATAAAGTTTGACAATTTATCAAGATTTTTCTATTCTGTGTCAAAAATAAAAAGCTCTTTTCCTGATAAATTGTCAATATGTCAAATGCTCTTGACAGTGTTTTCTTCAACATGTTTTTACTCTTTGTGCATAGTTGTGAATAATAAATTGTAAGAAAGGAAGATACATAGTTCGCTTATATTGTTATTGTTGGCCGAAGAGGAAATTGCGAAAATCGTTTCACTTGCAAAATTTTCCGTTATCTCATAGATGAACTGGTCCCACATGATATCCGAAAAACATCATTGTCTTTAATCATAAGTGTGCTGGTTACTTTAAACTTTTTTGGGTATTGCTTATACCAAAAATGTGTAGGCAACAACTTTGTATATATGAAAGGAGGAGAAATAAAATTTCCCAGTTAAGCTAATTTATCTCATATATTATATCTTTCAGTCCTCTTAATTTATAGTTATGTAAATAGAAAGGGGTTCTATGTTATCACTGCCGAAGCAGTAAGTTTTATTGTATTATATATGAACCAATGCAGTTATGTACTTAATTATGTTTAAGGAAAATCGCTTAGAATATCACACCATTTTTGTAAAACGGCACTAAAAAGCCACGTTGATTTCTGTAACAAATGGTTATGAACCCAGATATCGGTCTGGAGTTCTTGACGGTTCCCACAAAGGTTAATTCGGTTTGGTTGTTTTCCGGTGTTAAAAACAAGGCGAATGCTTTAGCCACTATTTAGAAACTTAGCAGCGATAATTATACAACTTGGTGTATACAGATTAAATGTCTGCTTATCACCTTGGATTTCTGGAATGCGGTATTGGTAAAGTCACCAGAGACGGAGCCTGAAAAATCTGCTTGGACCACTTACGATGGTATGTTCTTGACCTTCATTCCAATTTCTTTTCAATCGTTAAATCTGTCGAGTGCGGTAATGCAGAAAACAGCGTTGTGATGCGAAACTATAATAAAGTGATAATGACGGGAAATTTAGAAAATGGTGTATACGTCGAAAATGCTGTTAGTGATGCAAATGACTTAGACGTTTCGATCATATTTACCTGAGTGACTTAAATAAATTACATGACTTAAATATGGTAAATGGACTAAAGGCAAAATTACCGAAAACTTTAGAATGTTTTACATGTGCAGTTTGTAAAATACATAGTAAACCGTACATGTTTATAGCAATATTTATGCGAAAAATTCGCTTGAGTTGGCCCATTGGGCATTGGTTCGGTTGGAGGTTCGTCGTATTTCGTCACCTTCATAGATGACTACTCATGGTATACTGTGGTTTACTTTATTAAACGAAAATCTGAAGCTTTCACTGCGAGTGCTGAGAAGCAAACAGGCCGCAAAATAAAATCGGTTCGGATTGAAAACGGACGGGGATTCGTAAATTCAAAATTTGAAAAATATCTTTCTGAAAGATGTATTCGGCATCAAACGACGGGAGCATAACGATAGTTGAAATGGCGCGGTGTATGATAAATGAGTCTAAGTTACCTCAAACATTGTGGGCGGAAGCTGTAAGTACGGCGGTATACATTAGTAACAGATGTCCTACGAATGTTTTAGGACAAACAACACCCTGGTTGCGACGCTTCAGAAAGAGCCTAGGCCACGAAATTGCAAATTTTTGCCGAAATTAATTAAACTAAAATTCGTCGGCTGTCATGATGTAAGAAAAGGTTACAGGTCAGTAAATTTGCAGGCGAATAAAATTACGATTGCTCGCAAACCACATGGATAACGATCGCGAAGAACCATTTTATATGGAAAATGAAATTAATAAATCGGATGAATCAACCAAAAATGATAATAATGAAGAATGTGATGAAATAATAATGAAGATGTAGGTGAAACTGGAAATAGTTTCGAATACGTAGGAGTCGTCGATAACAAAAGAAAACGCGGAAGGCCGAGATTTATTCGTTCGGTTGGCGTTGGAAGTCCGAAAATGGTGTACAGTGTAGAGAACGAACTGGAAATTATTGAGAATCCAAATTCCGTTAGTGAGATGTAGATTACTGCGAAACCTTCGCGCCTGTTGTGGGTCATTTACCATTCTCTTGATCTGAGCGTTAGCAGCGAAAAAGAAATTATTGATGAACCATGTAGACATTGTTGCTGCGTACATGGAGGGTGAATTGGAAGAAACAGTTCACATGCTACAACCACCTATGTTTAAAGAAAATGAAAATTCCTATAAAGTTTGTAGACTAAAAGAGCCGCTGTACGGCCTTAAACAAGCTTGTCGAGAATGGAATCGAAAAGTTTCAAAAGGTGTAAATCAGATACATCAGTTTACAAACGTCTAAATGGCAAAAGTGTAAATATAATTGGTTTATACGTCGACGACATGATACTGGCATGCTCAAGTAAAAGTGAAATGAGTAATATACTTCTAAAATTAAATAAAATGTGACAGGCAGTGTGAAAATTTGGAAACGAAGGCTTACCAAAGTTTGTTGGATGACCTAATGTATTTAACGTTCATATCAAGACCGGATATTGCGCATGTGGTGTCAAAGTTGTCCCCATTCAATTCAGACCCACATAAAGAGCACATGAAATACGGCTAAGATATCTGAAGAGAAATTCAGTTGGTAAATTAACTTTTTCTGCTAAATGTTCAATTTTTGTATGCTTTACATACGCTGACTGTGGAAGTAATAACATCGACAGAAAGTCGTTTACAGGCTAAGTTATTTTAATGGCTGGTGGAGCTAGAGGCTGGGAGTCTCGAAAGCAATCTGTTGTGCCACTAAGGTCCATAGAAGCAGACAATGTTGCATTATGTCAAGGGACTAAAGAAGTTGTGTACCTTCGTGTGCTGTTATCGGAGTTGGGTTACGGAAAATGTGTCAAAGATCCCACTTCAATTTTGTGTGATAACCAGAGTGCACTGTACATGGTGAAGAATTCACTGGTACAAAAGAGAAGCCAGCATATTGTCACACGGTACCACTATAATCAAGAAATGCATGCAGAGCAACAAATTTAAGTTGAATATATTCCAACGGATAATAATGCAGCAGACGTCTTAACAAAAGCTCTAGGGGAGCAGAAACATATTATTGGTTATAACTTATTAAGAATGAAATATTAAAATGGAATTGTATTAATGTTGATCTTAATTTGGAATTGTATTAATTATTATTTGGCGCGCTTGATTGGAAGGGGCGCTTGTTGCTCGTAGATTTATATAAACTAACCTTTACATAAGGGCTTATGTACTTAACTGCTTGATCCGAAAAACGTTGAGAAGCGAAGTTGCTGCGAATGTAATGATGTTCAATAGTATAGACGGCTCACAAGAAAAAAGATTTCAATATCATTTTGGTTGTTAAATCCTTCCTAAATATCTAAGCGACAAATTGTTACAAAACAAGTTTTATTTAAATCTTCATGCTCTCATAGGACTATCTCATAAATGGTATCTTTATGGTATAATTAAATTATAAATTCCATATAATTGCCAATTTCATTAAAAAACTGTATAAAGCTGTACATTTAAATGTGTAAAAATAAACACTTTTTTAACTTTAACTTTCCCTTTCGGAAAATGAAACTGAAATTTATCTATTATATATTTTATTGTTGTTGGATTTTATCCATTAATCATAATGTTTTATTTTTCTTTAGTGCTCAAAATGGAACCACCAAGAGACAAATGGAACTTTGTTTTATTGATTTTTGTAATACATGGCATTGGGACTTTGATGCCGTGGAACATGTTCATAACCGCGAAGAGTGTAAGTCAAAATATTACATAGATAACATTGAAGTTAATTAATAGTGTTTCTAATTTGTTGCAGTATTTTGTAGACTTTAAGTTGGGAAGTGAAACAAATTCTACGTCACCTTATGCCTCAAATTTTTTACAGTACCATAACTTCGCTGCACAAATTCCCAACGTGGTATTTAATTGGTTAAATATATTTGTTAATTTAGGGTAAATCTTACTTAAAACACTCTAATGCTTTGCAATAATATTTTATTTTATTTTTCAGGGGTGATTTGACAAAGCGAATTGTTTTCAGTATTTTGTTAGAATTAGCATTATTCATTTTAACTGTAATTTTGGCTATGGTCGACTCATCAGATTGGCCTGGTATATTCTTCTGGACAACCATGATTACTGTTGTTTTGTTAAATAGTAAGTATTAGGGTGTCTATGTACCCTGCTAGTAGCCTAATTGTTTAATTTTAGTGGCTGGAGGTATTTATCAGAATACTATTTATGGAATGGTAGCTACACACCCATTTAAATATACCGGCGCTGTTGTATTAGGATCTAATATATGTGGACTATTTGTTTCTATACTAAGTATAGCAAGCAACTCCATATTTTCATCAAAACGGACTGCAGCTATTTACTATTTTATCACAGCAATGGTCGTACTATTGGCATGTTTTGACACATTTTTCGCCTTACCATTAAATGTAAGTGACTATATTTTTATATTGTTTTTCAATTAATCTCGTACACTTATTTTTCACTTCTCATTTAATGAAAATATTAGTGCTAGCTATTATTGTTTTAAATTCAATTTTTTTTTTTTCAATAATAAAATAAATTATATTTGGTCCACTTGGTGTCCACTACTTTGACCTCAAAAATATTAGGCAAATTCCTAATATCCCAAAAGAGTTGAAAAATGTTAACTGTAGAAGCAAAAGTAGTTATGTAGAGCAAAGTAGCACGCGATTTCCAGTCTTACACATAATGCGCGGTCCCTTATTTAGGAAAATGCTGCTGACCAAAAATTTAAACTAGAACGTACTAATGTTGTATTAAATGACTAATGCCTATATATTTGGTGTACGGAGAAAACACTTGTCCAGCCTACTTATTGCAGTAAAAATGTAACACTAGGAGATGGCGAAAGCGAAATCCTAATCGAAGAATATTAAAAATATCACGCGACTATGACGAGGTTCGACTAGTAGTTGCCTGTCTAAAGGTATTCAAACATGGACAAAAGCTTGCCCCGCGATTGGTATTTAAGTCTGCTCTTTAAAAAAGGGGTAGCCCGTTGTCTGTGCCGATTACCACAGGATGAGTTTCTTAAATTTCGAGTTTATTGTGTGAAATGAAGCCCACCGTCAACAAAATGATTTTGTCCTTATCAGTGTGGCTTTAACTTGGTTTAACAACCATTGACCAGATACACATCATGGGAAAGGGCCGTGAAAGAAGAATCGATTGATTGATTTTTTCAGTTTGGTGCTGGAGAAAATAACAAGAGCTGCAGAGCTAAATATACAAAGCCTAATATTTAACAAGAGTGTACAACAATTGGCGTCCGCCGTTGACATTGATACATGTATGTATATCTTATCGGGGTCGTAGAAAATTTTATCTATTTAGGAACCATAAATAATGACAGCCTTAAAATCCTACGGAGAATCTCTCTTACCAACAGGTGCGCTCAGTAGGAAATTTGAAAAGTAAAGATGGCCTGGCTGTACTTGGTCTTTCCAGCTGTACCCGAAAAATCGAAAGGAACAAGGAATTGAGCGCTGTAATCGCTGCAATGGTAACCGCGTGATTAGCATTTTGTTCTGCCATCCTGAATGCCTGCGTTTGAGTCTTGGTACGACTAACATCCGAAAGTTATAGAAAAAAATTTAAATAAAAAATTAAGTTAATTTTTCTAATTGCGGTCGTCCCTCGGCAAGGAATTCAACCTATTCTAGAGTATTTATGACATGAAATAAAGTTCTGTGACGGTGTTTTCCACTTGGCTGGGGTTAGCTCAGCCTTTCCAAGGTTATCCTAAAATAACGATACGCTATTTTCACTAAAACAAATAAATTTAATTTATTGTTATTATAAAATCGTATGTATATATAATTTCTACAAAATCTAAAAAAAATTTCTACAACATTAACTATTTACTTCGTATGAGCTGTGGCGGTGAAAACCCTCTACTAGCACCCTTTCCAGTGAGATGAGAACTGTCAGTGGGCACTACGTTTGTCGGTTGTGTTGATCCCACGGGCAAGTATACCTAGTAACGATACAAAGACTACTTAATTTTCTTTAGATGTTCCTCGCCTTTTACATAATTTTGCGCGCAGGCAGAATGTTATTTAAAAAAACAAATTATTACCCTAAACAGTTTTCCTCAAAGCTATGTGTATGTATGTAAATGCATGTTCATATGAATTCATCCTTGTTTACGCGAGCAAAGTGGAATTCATAAAATGTGCACGTATGTACATATGTATATAATTACATGTTAGGTGTACACTTAAAATATATTATTTATATAAATAAAAAAACATCAATGATTTTTGGAACCTTGGAGTTCCTCATAAAAAACGCTTAAGCCGGTGGGAGACGGCTTAGTATAAACTGCAGGTCCCTCCAAGTAAAAAGTTCGGTTTTTTTGATAGAATTTTCCAAATATCATAAAGTTCGGTTTTTTTGATAGAATTTTCCAAATATCATAATAACCATTAAGCGCGCTCTCCATGGACAGGAAAAGATGGTGGTCACTTAATGTCAGGTCCGGACTATAACGTTAAAGTAGGTGCATTAGGATCTCCCATCCGAGCTCCTGGATCTTCTGGCGCGTCACCAAAGACGTTTGTCCTGGCGTTGTCCTGATGGAACCTAGCAAACCACTTTTGTGCTACACGTTTGTTTACAGTATCCGGCCCATATGCTAAATTATTTTTTTCAGCCTCTTTGGTCGCCTTGATCGAATAAAATTTTTTTTCTTTGGTGGTGTCCATCTTTGAAGAGCGCTCGTAACGTACTGAGTCAATCAATCGAAAAACTGTCAAAGACAAACTTGTAGCGCCGTATAGTGTGACATCATGCGACACTAGTACTATGGACAATAACGCCATCTCTTAGATAAAAACCGAACGAACTTTTTACTTGACCTAATATCATTTCACATACAAAATTTATTTATTGTATTTTTTTATTAATTTTTTTTATTTTATTTCAGAAATTTTACCGGTATAATCAAATTTCACGCAAATCAGATAAGGAAACAAACTACAATAAAGTCACTACCGTGCCATATTGGACTATTTTCAAGCAAGCTTCATTGCAGTTATACAATGTTTTTTTCACTTTTTTCATTACGCTATCAATATTTCCGTCTGTACATTCAGGTAAAAATATCTTAATTTTTTAATGAGTTTTTATTACAGACGTTTACTGGCTTGTCCTATTGTTTTTTATGAAGAAAAAAGTATATCTCGGAGCGGTGATAATTTTAACTTATAAGCTTATGTATATATATCTAGTACATAAAAAAAAATAATCGATTGTGAAATTTAGATATATCGCTCTTAAAGTGAAAAATTGTTAGCTGCTCAACTATGGCGGGGGCTGTTTTCCCACTAACAAGCATACCTAATGACAATAGTTCCCGCGACGGTCGGGTCTTTTTACTCCCCCAACATAACAAAATTATTTTGGGGAATATTTTTGTGTTTACAAAAACAACAATAACAAAACACAGATATAAAGGATAATATACAGCCTTGTGTGCAACATCTGCTGGACAGGATGGCGTACAGACAAGCACTGAACGCCATTCACCTGAAGTCAGGCAAATCCTTTAAAGACTCCATTCTCGTGAATGGCGTGCTCGGAGAAAAAACAGCGCCATTGCAGACTACGAGGTCGAGCTGTCTCGAGAGACTCGCGTGACTTTGGCACAACTTAGGTCTGGATACAGTAACCGGTTGAACTCCTACATGTCCAGACTCGACCCCAGCATACAAAACTTATGCCCTGCATTTGGAGAGTCTCCGCACTACACTAACCACCTCATCACATGCACCCTTAAGCTGACACATCTAGCCCCCCGCTCCCTCTTGTCCGTCAGCACGTTTCCTGAATATGAAATATATGTATACGGAACTCAAATGTGTGCGAACATACATATACTAAAACACTTTTAGTAAGGTAATAATGCTTTACCTGCTATTTGCTCTTGTGTGAAACATTCGGTTATCCATTTTGTGTAAAATTTAGAATAGTTTCAATTAGTTAAAATTCCGATTCGATTATATACATATATACATATATATATATATATATATATATATATATATATATATGAATGTATATTCGGCTGAGCTCTTCTTCCACCTTGCGGTGTGCGTTTTGGTGTTTTTCCAACAAATGTAGTGACCTACAATACGATGGACTTTTATGAGGTTTTATTCATGTCAGAAATATACTCGAAGAACTTGATATTCCTTGCCGAGGGGCGACCGCAATTATAGAAATTAAATTAATTTTTTATTTAAATTAAATTGCTATAATTTTTCGGTGGTCGTCGGACCAGGACTCTTTCCGAATGGTAGTGCTTAATGCTAACCACTCGGCTACTACGGGTGCCCGAATCATCATACACATATGTATATATTTATAAAAACTCCAGCTGTAAGTTATATGGCAAATATATAAGCATCGCTTCTAAATTGTAATTTTTGGAAGCTATTAGTAATTTTATTGTAAAATTTTGAATTTATGCATGGACCTTATTTTCTCAAATTGCATTTTTTGTAATGCATCTCAATGGAACGTTTTCATAATTGTAAACAGCGAGATTAACTTCTCGTATTCCAAATAATAATAACATCTAACTACTTTGTATAATAGTACTCCAAAATTATTGCAAGAAACTAAACATAATCGATGATCACCGCTAGGTCAATAACAATTTTCCCTTTAGTTAAAGATGCGACGCGGTATAAATTACCATTTTATGCATTTATAAATAATTATTTATATTTAATATGTGTTTAACAAAATATATATTATATTCAATTACTATCTCCATCTCTTGGTCATTCCTAGAGGCATGGCATTAAAACCGCCTCAGATTCTAGAGAGGCTCCTGATTTTGCTGATTTTTCACTGGAGTTAAACTTTGGCAACGACAAGGCTAGCAGTTTTGCTTGGCTGACTATGGTTGCTTTCTGGTACAGCTCCATATGCCTTCTCTTAACTTAGTACTTCCGCTTGAATGAGGATTGAAAGAGAAATCCCAAAATCCTTGGAGGACACTCCCGCCCGTATTATGTTACATGTTAGCAAAGGAGTTACACAAACAAATTATAACAATGGTAGAAACAATTCGGAAGAACCGAATTGAACTGCATCCAGTACTGATCGATATGAAGTGAAATCCGATTCCTTACGGAAGTCGATTGTTGGCCAGATCTGTAAGCCATTTTTTTAAAACACGTATCAAATTGTCACAATATTGAATACTTGCCACCGTGGCTGGAATATATCGATCAAACCTGAGTCACCTCCATCCGTAGCTCCATACATCTTCAACCAAGCAACAAAAAAGGTTGATGTTACATATGTACCACAATAAACTATCATAGCGCAACGTGATTTTTTTTATTTAATACTTTTTTTTTAGATACTCTCGTTTGCCGTTGTGAAATGATGGGCAGAATTTTCGAAGTCAATTTTCTTAGCGGATAAATTTTTAGTTCATTGCTCATATCGGAGGTTAACTTCAAAATATAAGGTCGTGTATAAAGGCAGTTGTGCCCGCTACTATTAAAGTCTTGTAAAACAATTGAAAAATTAAGTTGAGTAATTTCTACTTAATTAGAATTCAATAACTTGTCAAAAGTACACATTTTTAATAACAGTGAATAAGATTTTCCTTTCGAATTCTAGTCCGACCAACGTCCAAAATGATAGAAAACTAAACTAAAGAAAAGAATACAGTTAATTTATCTAGTTTAGGTCGAGCCTCGGCTGGAAATGATAAGTCCTTCAAGTGTACTCCTGACAAAAAAAACTTCATAAAAACCACCAGCCGTTCGGCAGAGACAAAGTATAAATTGTTGGAAAAACATCAAGACGTTCACATGCAATTGATGAGTGCGCTGTGAAAACACAACCACATCATTTTTGGTGGTGTAAGTTCTGCATGCACCGCATCTCTAATATATAAAAAATTTCTACCATAATATTATCTATCTGTCTCGAAGGAAAATACAGAGCTCTATCAAATATATTTACCTTTGTCACTCTCATTTCATGAGAAGTAATTCATCCAGTAAGAAGTAGTTCATCCTATAAATACTGATTTATTGTATGAGAAATAATAATTTTGTACGGACCGATGCACTCCGGTTTTATTTTCATATATTCTTCTCTTATATACTATTATTTAAGAAATGAGTAGATATTTGAGAATGTATGCATGTAAATAACGGAAATATATATTTTTAAAGGATCGCCAAAGGTATAGATTGTTTTATTTTTTTTTATTTTTATTGACATTGTTTCTCTTATTTATTAGCGTTGGCACCGCTTAAGCGATAATTGCCGACTCAATTATAGCAAGCCATTCATACCTTATTTTCACTGTTTGGCGCAATGTAATTGCGGATTTTTTAAAAGAAAGTAAATGCATTTTTAATAAAACTTAGAATGAACTATAATCAAATATATAATTGCCATTTTGTTCGATAACCTTTTGCCATCTTCCTGGCAAATTTAGTATTCCACGCTCATAGAACTTCTGGCCTTTATCTTCAAAAAACTGAACCAAGTGCGATTTTATGGCCTTATCATTGCCTAAAGCTTTACCATTTAAGGAGTTCTGCAGAGATCGAAATAAATGGTAGTCTGATGGTGCAAGGTCAGGGCTATATGTTGGATGCATCAAACATTCCCAGCCAAGCTCACTCAGTTTTTGGCGAGTGACCAAAGATGTGTGCGGTCTAGCGTTGTCCTGGTGGAATATGACACCTTTACGATTGACCAATTCTGGTCGCTTCTCTTTGATGGCTGTATTCAATTTGTCCAATTGTTGACAGTAAACATCCGAATTAATCGTTTGGTTCCTTGGAAGCAGCTCAAAATATACGACACCCCTCCAATCCCATCAAGCCGTTGGAAAAATTTGTCAACGCCGACTATATGAAAAATCCACAATTACTTTTTAGGCAACCCAATAGAAAACCAAGTGAAACCAGGCCTCTCTCCACCTGCTCCTTCCAACGGAGGGGGGGTCTTCCTCTTTCTCTGTTTCCACCAACGGATATTGTATCAAATACTTTCAAAACAGGAGTGTTTTGATCCATTCGGACGACATGACCTAACTTTTCCATCTTCTGCGCTATACGCTATTGCCAATTCGCAAATCGTTCCCAAAACCTTTCTCTCGAAGATTCCAATGTCCGACTTATCAGATGTTTACATCGTACCCGCCTCTGCGCCATATAGTAGGACGGCTATGATGAGTGACTTGTAGAGAGAGGACTTTACTTTTAAATTGCCTACTCAGTCCAAGGTAACATCTGTTGGCAAAAATGATTCTGCGTTGGGTTTCGAGACTGACATTATTACTGATGTTGATGCTGGGCCCTATGACCTCGAATTTATGACTGCCAACAGTGACATGGTACTGGCACGGTTGTTAAGGCCAATGATATCAATATATTTTTTTTTTTATACAGAAATCATTTATTTACTGGATCTGCTATAATATAAGCCTAACAGTAAGTGTAAAAATCTTAAAAACTAAATTACAAACATGATAGCTCGAGTTATTTCACTCTGAGCCCTTTTCAAACTACGACGTTCTCCTTCGAAGGCGGGAACATCTCTTCGCTGCAGGCGTGAATTTCTCGATGGGTTGCATAAAGGATTAGTTAGCGGATTTGGATGATTTTTTAGCTTTGTGAAGTACTTCGTCCTGCTTCTTTCATTTTCAGGCTTAACCAGTAAAATACCAAGGTCTTGATGAATGTTAACGTTACGAACGTACCATGGTGCGCCCGTTAGTGGTCTTAAAATTTTGGACCGGAACCTCTGTATTTTATCGATATTAGTTGCAAAGGTCGTACCCCACAGTTGAATACCATACATCCAAATTGGTTTTAATACAGCGTTGTAGATAATGATTTTGTAGTCTAGTTTTAGACCGGAGTTTTTATTTAAAATCCAATTTAAACTAGCTGCTTTTAATTTCATGTATAGTATTTTTGCCTCTTATGTGTCTTTTCCAAGGAGACGTCTATCTAAGTGTATACCGAGATATGTAACATCACTTACTTGGGAAATGTTTTTACCATTTAAACGAATTGCAGGACATGATTGAGGTCTTAAAGTAAATGTG